GCATTCTTCCAGCGGTGGATTGAAAGAGAGCTGTACGGTTAGTTTTTTCATTGTGAGCTTAAGGATTTTCCGCATGACTAGAGGCGATGTTTAGTAGTCCTAGAAAACGCGAGTGAAATAGATAATAGTTTTAGGACTTGTTTTCACGAGTGTCCTGCTACATTGGGATGTGTTTTTGCGGTTCTTTGCGTGTTTGGCTTCATGTGGGAGGAGACGAGAAACCTCGCCACGCGTACGTGGCAAGGGGCAACACTCCAAAACTCAACAAAGTCATCTCTGAAATTCTATTGCTATGCTGCTGTCTCCTAGACAACGCACAGGGCAAGCCTGCTATGCGTGGTATTCCCAGACAGTGTCCCGTCCAAGTACTAACCAGGCTCAAAACCAGCCTGGCTGCCAAGTGCCGGGACATAACCCACACGTACAGATAGATGAGTTGGTAAATTTCAGAGTTTGTAGTCGCTAATATTGTTTGGCTCAGGGTTGGCACGCAGTGGTTGGAGTGCTCTGTCAGCTCACAGTTGTAAGTGCGCAGGTTCAAATCCTGCTCATCACTTTGTTTGTCGTGCAACAGTGGCAATGCTGTGAATAGACTTTGCCACTCCATAGGAATGTGGAATTGCCACCACTTGGCAATAGGGCTCTGTGAATGGGAGATATGAGGCATTGTTGGTCGGCGATGGGTGTCTGATGACAGGGTCGATTGGCCGGAATGTGACGGCATGGTCAGATGGTCAGCATGATGGGGAGGGTACGCGTTGAGGCGTGTGTGTGCTTCTTAAGCGTCTGCAGGTGCAGCTCCAGACGAGGCTGCATTGTGGAAGCTGCAAGCAATGTGTGTGTGTGTGAGCTAGGCCGAAATACGTTCAACGCACTCACACACACGAATACAGGCAAGGAATTAATCTTCTTGGTTCTTTCGGTAAAGTCACGTAGAAGGGAAGTGACTTTACCGAAAGAACCAAGAAGATGAATCCCTGCAGTCACGAAAGTTTTAAATCGAAACAGGCAAGGAAGTTCTATCAAGCGTATATAGACGGTACTGCGTGTATGTATGTTGAACTTCTTTCGCACCGTACGTAGTCAACTGTGCTAATCGGAGGTGCGGAAGCTGTTAGCAAGCACCTATGAAGGCACCATGCCGAGCCAGCTTTTTCTTCGCCAGTACAGACGTTTATGGCTGAGTCTATGTAGGGGTTACCCAGGTCCCAATCTTGTTACCACTCGGCACGGATGTTAGTCTTGGCCAGGAAGAAGAGCCCAAAATCGCCACGACGTTGGTAGCACAGCGCCTTAACTTACCGCCCCCACCTCGTTCAAGCAGTTCACACACACACTGGCATCCTCACGAGCACAAGCGCAGACGTACATACACTACTCACCTGCACAAACCGTCACACTCTTAACGCAAACATACGCGACGTGGTGTTTTAGGTGGTTTTATTCGGTGCTTTAAAGCAGCCTGCACTGCAGTTTCTCCCATCCACCTCCTTAAGAAAAGAAACAAACTCGTGCCAGCTCGGATTCTACAAGAAAGAAAGCCGTCCTTTGTTGCAGCAGTTTAAGACAATCCTGGAAAAAAGACATAGTATGCCCCCAACGTATAAAGCAAGCTCGCACTTAATTATATATATATTATGTCTTCAACTGCAGTTATTTATTTAAATGCCACCATCCGCTGATCCATTGCGAGGGCTGGGGGAGTCCTCTAGGGGCAATTGCGACGGGCAACGAAAGCCGCAAAAAGCTAGAAACGAAAAATTACGTTTCAATCGGATTTTTGTTTCCTCTTCTTCGTAATCAAACAAATGGTTTGGTGGAGATGTCGCTGCGTTGGTAGTGGTGCACAGGCAGAAAGGGAAATTGCCTGAAACGTCGTCTATTAAATTTCTTTTGTAGGGCAATATTATGGATGACTGTTATTGTTTTTTTTCTTACCAGGGCCTCTTTAAAATGTGTGTCTACTCCCACATCTTGACGCCCAAAGGCAGAAAACCCTGTACTGCTGAAGGTGCCGATGATATCACCGAGCACCGCCCCCATCACCTCCCGTCCAGCGGCACAAATGAGACCCCCCCCCAACTGTTATCATTTTATTTGATTAATTGAACCGATAATCGGTAGAGTAATCGATTACTTTAAAAAATCGTATTATCCCAGCACTTAAAAAAAACTCTCAATCTAAGGGCTGACGACGTCTATTTAAAGAGAGGCATTGGCCGAGACACATGCTCTGAGACGGACGCCAGGGAGCCTCCCTCTCTCCCTCCCTTCCCCTCTGCGGTGCCGTGCGGCTGTCGGTGATGGCCGTCCGCTATTTAAGGCGGCGGCGAGGAAGGAATCTGCGCCAGGCGAACGTCGTCGCAGCTGTGTGCATGCATCAGCCGCGGCCCTCTGTGACACATTTCCCAAGCGTCCGTCATCTGGGTTTGCTCCGAGAGATGTTGGCGTACGACAAAAGGAGCACAGTATTCTTCTTTCGTACGGCTGATGTAGATGCAGAGCAACAATTACAATTTCAATTTCAGGTGGTCAAGCCAGACAATCGTGTCAGGAGCAGCAGTGTATATCGCTGCGATGTCTCCTTAGTATTTTTTGGATCGGGCACTGCATCACTACATGTTCGATGGTTTGTTCTGGATTTCCACAGTCTCAAACTACAGGAGAGTTTTTAATTTTCCATTTCAATTTGCTGTCACAAATCTCTTCCGCCACCTATCCGCCGCAACGCCTGCAACCCTCCGGGAAGTCCTGCGAATCGAGGAGCACCAGTGGCTCCTCCGATCTGCGTTGATTTCGGATGTTTGGCCTGGTTCAGTTTGTGATGCAAGTAGATCGATCGTTGTTGAATGATTGAAAGTAACAAACATCTTGCGATTCGTCAACACATAGTTGTACTCGTGTCTCAACTGCGTTTGGGTGTAACCGTGTTTGACTTTGTCACCAGTTGTTGCTTGAGTCACCCTCCTTTAGCTCGGGCTCATTGAACCACGAAGCCGAAACCGCTAATTGGCAGTCGGAATATAATACAGTGGTAAATGTTGTTATCAGTGAGTGCAGAATGTTGGCTACGTACGGTGCCAAAGAAGTTCAATGTGCATACCGATTACTACCAATTCACTTATTGCAGACCAAGTGGCTTTTGTAGCAGCAACAAACGCGTAGAACGCACAATAGCAGCAGTAGTCCACCAGTAGTCCTGTTGTAGGCCAGTTCATGAAGACTTATCTGGCATCAGATTTGCCTCCTATACTTCAGGCTGCTTCAGGTCTAGTGGAGCTTGATGTTGAATTCTCACACGCAGTCACACCCAAATAGAGTTGAGATGTCTATTTGAATCAAGCCTGCGGAAACCTCAAATCTTATTACCATTGGTGTGGTGAGGGCACATTTGTGTTGAGCTTTCCATGGTTTGGGGCTGGGCGTTTGGATCTTCTCTGCCACAGTGACCCAATCCAGATTGAGAGACAGGCATTTTAAATGACATTAAACTATAACGATTTTTTTATATTACTAATTAAGACCCTCTGACCTAAATATCTCTTTTTCAGTCGCGACTTGGCCACAAATGATAGCTCGGCGAAGTGGCTTATCATCTGGACATTTATAGCAGCCAAATACTCTAAACGCATGTTTTTAAATGTGGAGGGAAAACCCGGACGACCCGAAGAAAAATTCACACCATCACGGGGAGAACATTCAAACTCCAAATATACGGTGGGGGTCATGGTCAGGATCGAACTCACGATATCTTGTGTATACCAGGCGATAAGGTGGGGGTCATGGTCAGGATCGAACTCACGATATCTTGTGTATACCAGGCGACCTACTTAACATCTCGCCACCGTGGTCCCCCGAAGTTACAGGTTGACATCAGTGGCGGTGGCACGATTGCAATGTGGCCATTTGTCAACAGGTATGCCGGGCGATGAATTGCAACCAACCCCAGGTCTCTGTCCAGGGGCTTGTGCATGGCTCACGTTCCCTCTGTTCACGTAGCCCACTGTTCGCTTTGCAAACACCGCACTCTGGAGCCATAGCTACGGGAGGATCATTGATGTGGAATAGCCCTGGCGTTGCTCAACACTCTTTTTAAGTGACACCGTTCATTGGGATACGGCCTAGTGTGATGAGCGTGACTTTTTACGGACTTAAATCGCGTTTTATTTTGGTGATGAATCCGAAACCTTTCCTCGACTATTTTAATCTTTCAAAAGCAACAGTGTCCACAGACGACGAATGACTATTTAGTCATCGGGACGTAATCCGGTGCACATTCAATGGAGGGAATGCTCCAGAGAGTACGTGTACTGCGGAGATGGAGCTCTGAAATAAAGTGATGCGCTCCATGGATTTGTTGGATCGCAAGCCTGTGAGAGATTGTGACCACTTCATCCATCAGTGGATTAATCATGGTTGATGATGATGGTGATTTTGACACAATATTTTGGATAGACTTCTCAGGCACGTTAAAGGTGCGTGTAATAATTTGTGTAATCATGGAGTGGCTTTTTACCTCGGGAATCACGTGTCAACAAATTAGCACTGTAATTCAGAGAGAAACACTTTGACCGCCTTGCTCGATAAGGGAGTAAAGCTCAAACTACTACGGTGTGGGACGTGCCTGGATGATAGACTTTAGTCACCAACGCCGAGAGTACTGACTGACGGTGCACGCAGTTCCGTGTACGTGTCAAACCTGTTGGCTTACCCCATAAATAATGCTCACGCTCCAAAACCACAGATAATGTCCTTGAAAGTGACACCCACACTCCCGTGTGGATCGTTTTGGATTGCTCTAAAATATTTCACTGCGAGGATCGCCTAATTTGTTCAACTACCCAGTTGCCGTTTGGACGACTGACACCGCAGTCGGAGAGACCCTCTGTGAGTGAGCGAGCGTGTGAGCGGTGGCGTAAGCGGTTAATGCATCCCTCCAGCACGCCGTAGCACGCCCTCCCTCCCGCCCGCCACCGTCAGGAATGTTTACCAGCCGCGAACGCTTCATTTATCAGCCGCCCTCCTCCTGCCGCTCGGCTTGTCGCTAGCGTTGGCGGTTCCGACAGAGAACTAGGAAACAGAGGCTGAGCGAGCCGGGAGTTTGTGTCGCAGCGATTTGCAGGGGTTCGCCGTAGCGCCGTTTTGAAATCTGCTGGAACGAAACGCGACTGATCGGCGGTCGGTGGTGCGCCGTGCGGCCCGTAAGAGAGCGAGAGTTAAAAATAAAATCTCTCTGCCGCAATGTCGCCCGCTGACCTTAATGCCTGGGCGGCTCAGAGCTAAGGGCAAGGGCGATTAATTGGCTGACTGCGTGCTTAACCCACCCTCCCGCCAGCCGGCGAGCTGGGCCTGCGAGCTAGCACAGCAACAAGCCAGCCAGCCAGCCGACCCATCAGTCTTGTCAAATCAACGAGCCAGACAGCTAGCCAGCCCACCAGTGAGCCAGCCAGCCAACAGGTTCGACAGCCAGCTAGTTCATTAGTCGGTCTACCAAGCCCGCAAGTCGGTCCACCAGTCGGTGGCCAACTAGATAGCTTGCTAACCAGCCAGCTCGTTTGTACACGCACACATGCTGTCGGAGCGGGGGTGAGTGACGTGGGTGTGCAGCAGTTGTCGGAACACAACATTGGAAGTCTCAGCGAATGACAAGTGGATTGGGTGAGCGAGAAGCCCATTAAGCGAGCCGCGCGGAGCCACGCACTCTTGAGTTTTGCGAGCGACCATGGAAGTTGGGATGGAGGTGAGCGCCGGGCGGGAGCCAGACCTGGTGCTGAACCCGGCGTGGGGAGGTGGGGTGGCGGCCGGAGTTCCAGACCTCATCTCGGCCGGTGTGCACGGCGCCGGTGTGAAGCCGTCTCGCGGGAAGCACTGTAAGGGGGCTGTGTGCCCGGCCGTCCGACCGTCCGTCTGTGCGTCCATCTGTTCGTTTGTCCGCTGGTCGTTTCTTCTGTGCCTACGTATCTCTGTATGTCGATCTCTTTGCCTGTGTTTGTATCTATCAGTCTAGCTTTTTGTATACCTTTTGTGCTATGTGTGTATCTGTATGGCTGTCTGAATCTGTGCAAGAGGCTTTCGCGGGTAAACAAGTGTAATATAAAAAATATATATTTTAATCTATCTTTGTATCTATCTGTCTATGTATATTTCTACTCAGATAGACAGATGAATATTTTATGTATCTTTCTACTGTATCTTTATCGTTGTGCATATCTTTCTCTATTCATCTGTCTATGTATCTATGTATCTGTCTCTGTTTACGTGCATCCCTTTGTCTCTCTCTCTCGATGTATCCACGTATTTTTATCTTTGCTTATGTGTCTTTCAGTAGAACATCTATCATAGTGGCAAAGGTTGAGGTAGGAGAGGAGGCAGCAGGAGGAGGAGAGGGAGTGGACTGTTTGTGTGCGCTTGCTACTGTACGGAGGCAGCGTGTCGTATGCGGGACACGCGTTGCACAATTGCATTGTGAACGTTGTGTTTACTAAAGCGTGGCACGAGATGCGGCGGGAGAAATGGAGGTTTTCTGGGGCGAAAGTTTTATCCCGTTCAGACTGTAGTTTGGCGTTGAGTTTTCATCCAGCTGCTCGGGGAAAAATCTGTGGCGGCAGGAACACCGGCGCGACTGCACCGCTGCCTCGCCGGGGTGTAATATTTTCCAGTGTTTCCAGTTCGCGTGCAACTTTAATGATGCGCGTGGAAACGCAGAGGGCTTGTGTCACATTGAAGCAGAGGTCGCAAACGGGTTTTGATTCCTTACCCGTACCCGTACCCGGCCGCACCAGGGTCGCAAATGGGTACCCGTATCCGGCCGGGTACCCGTACCCTACCCGTACCCTACCCGAAATGAGTGACAAACGGTTACTCACCAGTGACTCACGGCCTACCCGTACCCGGCCGCACCAGGGTCGCAAACGGCTACCCGTACCCGGCCGGGTACAGGTAGCTGGGTATCGGGTAGAGTACGGGTATCGGGTACCCGGTTGCGACTTCTGCATTGAAGGTGCGGATGGTGGTCACTCGTGGGGGGGAACGGCCGTTCACTGAGAAGCTGCTAGACAGAGCGGATGTCATATCTGTCTATCTATATATATCAACAATAATAAGGCGTTGTTTTTGATAGAGTGCCCTCCTATACGCGGTGGCGTCTCGGAGCGCTTCACACGCGATAAGCGACTTGCATCGCATCTCAACTTATTCGTTCGAAGGGGGGACCCCCAGTGGCAACTGCCCCTATGCGGCACAATGTGATTCAGCACCTGCCAGACGGGGCCGATGATGGCTACCATGTGTAATCCCAAAATTAGTGATTTGCAGCTATTTTCTAATTTAGCAAATTTGGACTGTTACGCCCAGCACATAATGGCCTACCCATTTTGAAGGATGTCGGTGGGATCTTTACGATCCACTGTGAAGCAGACCGCGTGCATTTCAGTGGATTATATACCGGCATTAACTAACACATTTATATGTTCCATCAAGGTCCTTAAGATCTTCTCATCTCCAACTGCTCAGCACTCCCAGGTCTAGCTTGCACTCTTTTGGTGATCGGGCTTTTGTTCGCGTGGCACCCAAACTATGGAACGCCTTGCCACATGAAATCAAGTAATAGGAGTCGGTAGATATATTCAAGTCTGCTTTGCAAACCCAGCTCTTTAAACTGGTCTTCCCTCTTTAGTTTGTTCGGTTGCCCTGGTTCTGTTTTTATTTCCTGCAGTCCATGCATTGTGCATTGGGATCCTATGATGGATTGAGCATTATACATTTTAATTATTGTTAACCAGGGCTGCCAGCTGGATTTCAACAATTCCTCACGGTCCCGTGATACAATTATCTGTCTGTCCGTCCTGCACGCCGGCTAATTTCACACCTCCCTTCAGCACGGCGGCAGATGTCTTCTCAGGTGTGTCCTCGTCCCTTAGCTGCAACTCTCACGTTCATTATTGACTCACGGCCGTCGCTTACTTTTTCTCAATAGTCAATCGTACGTCTCTAACTCGCCACCACTTGTTCTCCAGTCCATGGACCCCTCTTCCTCTCTCCCAGTGTCATTCCAAGCAAGCACCTTTCCACGTTTCATCTGCGTGCACCTCCTGCTACGTTTGTTTCCCTTCATTTGCCAGTGTCTGTTCTTATTCCGGTAACTGGGGCGCCTCCCGGTGACTTCATCCTTAGTGAGTTCTCATTTGCCACCACGTGAGCAACATTTGCAGAGAGATTAGCAACCGTGCTAAGCTGTAGGACTGTAAATATTATTTGCGTCGTCAAGCCCAAAGGCATGCGTTCAGCACTCAGTGCGGTCACCGCAAAAAAAAAAAAACTGCGATTTACTGCAGAAACTTTATTTGGATAAATGTAAGCTCTCGGAATGACAGAAAATCTCAGTTTGTCTGTCGTACGATGAACATTACTCTCGGTGGCAAGGCAGAGTTGGGAAAGTGCCTCCCCTAACTGTCTGGGTGAGGGATTGCTTCCGAAAGGGATCTCAGTGGTCGCTCTGATATCCGCTTCCGCGCACCATTCTCTGGCACAAAGGGTCGCGCTGCTCTGTAGAAGATCTGGATGGATTATTCGTCTCGTGACGCGACGCCGATAGCACAGTCGGCATAAATACAAGCATTTTAGGGAAATTAAAATGTATGGTTCCTTGGCAGTTGAGCACAGCAGTGTAACGTTTATATTGCTGAGTTCTGACATTAACTTTTCTGCTGAAACCTCAATGCAGACTTTAGTTTTCTGTGCGCAGGATTCATATGCCTTCATTACCCAGGAAATCTTCACCAAACTTCCAGAATTTTTCTCAGGAGGGTCCTGCCACATTGAGTTGTTTGTCCAATTCTGCGAGGGAGTTTGGCTTCATTTGGATTTTCGCTCGCCGATTCGTGTGCCCGTACACATCTCCAAATACCTGTACTCTATCTCTTCGGTCAGAATTCTATTCTGCGGTGGCGAACGTGTGGAAGCGAGGCAAAAGCAGTGACAGGCAAACCCAGGCGAGTCATTGGGCCACGTGAGCGAGCCTCCTTCACCTCAGTGGGCCGCAAGCTTGACACCGTGCTTGTGCACGCATCATGGCCCCAAGCATCACGCGAAAGACACACTGAGACCAGGCCACCACGGGGAGGGGGGCTCCATGAGACACATGCGGGACCACAGGTTGCCCACCACTGGCGATGAAGGGCCTGAGGATTAAACCGCGCAGAGCAAAAACTCACTCGCAGAAGGAACTCGCCACCCTATTGTGCGCCATCTGGCCTTTAATAGGTGCTCGTTAACAGCACCTCCTGCAACGGTCTCCGGAAGACCCGGCAGGCAGCCTCCCATCCACGATAGAACTTAAAGTCAGCCCGACCTCTCGCTTTAACTCCTCACCCACCTTGTCCACTCCTATTGGCTTCTGTGGAAGCTTGGTGGGTGGTCAGTGCACGTGAAGGCAATGCGGTGCAATTAAAGAGCGCCTATCTGTGCCAAATCGGTGAGCATTATGTCATCCGTGGTTGTGATAATGGAGAGAGTTTGGTATTCACGCTGCTTGTGTAGAGGTTTTCGCGCCACACTTATGCGTCACAGGCGCCGAAGTAAACAGAGAATTATGTAAATGATGGAGCTCGAGTTTAATTTGACCGCGTTTCTGCGGACACGCCTCTGCACGCAGCCGTGATCGCGGCCCCGCTCCCCCCGTGCGGCATAGCTAGCAAACACAAACTTGTTTGGTGGTGGCGGCGGCGAGCGTTCCATGGGAGCGCTGTAATGAGTTGGGCCCGCGCCAGGCGTTGTGATGATGTGCGTGGTTCAGCAATGACGCCATCGCCTACAGGCGCTGCCTCCGTGGCCTGGCCTGCTGCTGCAGCAGCTACTCGCTGTAGCTTCTCCTGCCCGTCTCCCCACCTGTCTAACAATCCGCCTCACTACCCGGGCTAACGACCTGCCTACCAACCCAACTGCGTGCCCACCAGCTTGTCTGTCAACTCACCTGCACTTCTACCCTGCCCATCTGCCCATCCACCTGACTACCCACCCATCTACATATTCGTCTACCCACCTGACTCTGTCTATTCACCCACCCGTCTACCCACCCACCTTGCCACCCACCCACCTACCCACCCATCTACCCACCCACCCATCTTCCCACTATGGGCTCAATCGGTTCTTAACGCTGCACATCATGCGTGTGCTGCATGAGAGAAGGAACTGGTACGTGAATCAACTTGTGGCCCCGAGTCGTGATGATCGGTCAGACACAGGAGCGGGACAGTCGCCGCACGTCCACTTAGGAGGGACGACACGACGCCTGTGTCCTGTAGCGTGTGAGCGAGCGATGTGACGTGAAGATTGGTCAGGTCTATCGTCTTGCTTGCCAGGCCCCTTGGAAAATTTACCATGATCGTTGAGTTGATATGATGCTCGGTTCCCCAGGAAGGCCTTGCTGAGTCTCAAGGAACTCTTTTTCAGCTGGGTCTTGCCAAGTCTTTCAAAGTAGTGGTTGATGCTGCTGTGTGTAATCCCAAGTGAGTAATTTGCAGGTAATTTTCCAGTGTTGCTGATGTTTTAGCCAATGTCTGTTACGTTGTATGGGGTTTTTGTCTAGCGACGGGATTAAACTGGAAAACCCAGAGGAAACCCATGCAAAACATGGGGAGAACATGCAAACTCTGCACAGAAGGGCACCCGAGTCAGGAATCTAACCTTTCTTTAAGGCATGAGTGTTACCATTGCACCACTCTGCCAGCATATTTCATGATGCAACTATAGGGCAGGCTCCCCCATGCAGTACTCGTCATGACGTATTTCATCTGCGGTAATTAAAAATATAAATTTGACGAACATTACTCTCCGTGGCACGACAGGTGTGAAAGTGCTGCCCACAGGTGTG